CACCCCTGGGACCACCCCCATGGTGTCCCCACTCACGTCAGCCATGGAGTCCACGCAGGTGACATCGAACGCGGCGCGGCCGCCTTGCAGCACCACGGGCGCAGCGCAGTCCTTGACGAGCTGTGAGCAGGGGGACACTGAGCACGGGGCCGTCCCTCCCCCCGGGAGCCCCCGGCGCCCCCCAGCCCAGCACGGCGCTCACCCCGTCCTCCTTGAACTCGCAGCTGTCCAGCTGGGCGCCCGAGCGCGCCTGGCACCGCGTCTCCATGATGGTGAAGTTGAGGTTGTGCAGGGAGCTGAGCTGGACGTTCTGGGGGCAGGGCACAGCGTGGTGGCAGCCACCCGGCAGCCCCGGCTGCTCCGGGCACGGCTCAGAGCCGGGCGGGGGGAGCAGCTCTGCTTCCCCTCTTCATGTCCCCCGGCTGGCCCCACCACGGCCCCATACCGACCCCATGCCTTCCCCAGGGTTTCCCCATGATGTCCCTTTGATGTCCAAAGGTGTCCTCAGCATTTGTGTCCCCACGCTGTCCCTCCCATGTCCTCATGCCGTTCCCAGGAGGTTCCTCTGATGTTCCCCACAGTGTCCCCACGCCGTCCCCATGATGCCTGCACACCTCCCCACGCCTTCCCCACGATGTGCCCAGTATCTCCCATGGTGTCCTCGTGGTTTCCCCACGCTGTCCCCACATGCACTCACCGGGCCGGGCTCGGGGTCGGCGCTGAGCAGCCGGAAGGCATTCTGCACCTCAGGCCGTTGGTTGTAGGAGTCCACAGCCTGGGCCAGAGCCTGGGGGTAGCCCAGGGGGGCCGGGAGGGCGCAGGCCCCCCCCAGCAGCGCCAGCACCAGCACCCAGCAGCTCGCCATCCTCGCCCCGTGCCCCTCATCGCTCCCAATGCCTTTTATTGGCCCCGAAGTTGGGCAACGCGGAAACGCGGGCCCAGGGGGAGCAGCCACAGCACGGCAGTTATCTGCGGGGGGAAAGCTGTGGTGGGGACGTGGCTGCGCCCATGGGCTGCCCTGTCCCGCTGCAGGCTGCATCCCACATCCCTGGCTGTGCTGCAGGG